TATTATTATTATTATTATTATTATTATTATTATTATTATTATTATTATTATTATTATTATTATTATTATTATTATTATTATTATTATTATTAATTATTATTATTATTATTACCATTATTATCATTATTATTGTTATTAAATCATGATAAATTCATTGTGAATTTACTCCCTCTCCTGATATTATCAATTATCATCACTCTGTAAAATTTAAAAAATCAATACTTTTTTCAAAAAGAAAAGTGTAATTTTATGTTTCCACATTTTTTTTCCATCCCATCATTAATTAAGCTGCATCTATTTTAATTGCAAATATTTTCCTTCTTTGTCCTTCTTCCTCAATAATTAGCATATAGATATGATAATAATTATAGTAGGTAGCGGTTAGTATATTTAGTTTTTTTTTTTTCTTTTTGCATCATGACAGAAATTACATTTCTTCAACTTCATCAATACTAGGTTGTTACTTGTCACAAATTACGCCTGGTCGCTTGGTTGATAATTCAAATTAATGATGTTCATGATGGTAATTTTTTTTTTTGTTTTTCATGGCACAATAAAAGATGATGAGCAACAGTTTGTCTTGGCTCGTTATCATTACAGATTACTGGGCTATAGTATCCTTGGCTCAGATATATCCAAATGATTTGATTGCTTATCACATTTATAATTTGCATTTTTTTCATCCTCTTTTTCATTTTAAAAAAAAGTGTAATTTTTTATTCATGTTTATTTTAGTAAATGAAAAGTGATGTTATTTGAAGAAACAATTAAATTAATCTATTTTTTTTTGAAAAATTGAAATGAAAATTTTAATCTCTCTTATGCTTTCTTTCTTTTCTCAATCGTTTTTCAAATACGTTCATTTCGAGTGGAAAAAATAATTAAATGTATGCTTGAAGTGTTAGTTTAATGAATAAAAATAATAAATCAATTCGAGTTTTGATTTCAATTACTTTTTGAGAGAAAAGTAAACTTCAACTAAAATAAAAAAAATGTTAAATGATAGAAGAAAAGATTGAATGGTTATCATTCTTTACATACGAAGATTATCATATCAGAAATTTTTTAGGGAATTTTTATTTTTATTTTTCAGAGTTTTTTTTTTATTGTTTAGGATTGTCATATCAGAAAATTTTTGGAAATTTTTTCAGAAATTTTTTAATATAATCATTAATTAATTAGTTAAATTTCATTTCCTTTACAAACGAACAATAATAGTAATGAATGTAAATAATGTTTATTAGCTTAATATTTTTCATTAATATGAATAATCGGTTATTTATTGTTGTTATAAAAAAATTGATAAAAATTATTCGTAATTTTTGGATTGATAACGATAATATCTAATTGATGTTGATAAATTAATTCCACTGATAGCTTACTATCAATTAGTGATAACCATGTTATCTTTTCTGTGATGGAAATTTTTTACGAAGAAATTGAGGAATAATAAGCAAGTGCAAAAATTTCCAATGAAATAAAAAAAATTTGAGAAAAAAAAATTGATAAAATAGAGGCAGACAATTTGAATTTAAAATGATAGCTTTTATGTTTCTTTTTTTTTTCAGCAATGTTGTTGAAATCATTGCAATTTATAAAATTCAAAATTTTAGAATTACTGAAATTCTTTTTTTTTCAGAAATCCTTTTATTTCGAAAATTTTTCAACCCCATAAATATAATATTGTTATTGAAAATTATTATTACGAAACGAAATACTGAAATACTGAAATACTAGAAATCTACCAGGATCATTAGAGATGCTATGTCATACTTTCGCTACATATTTATATATTTAAATTCTTGAATATTTACTGATTAAAATTATCTGAAAAAAAAGGTTTGATTTAATCTACACATTATTTATTTGGGTCATTCCTGTTTGTTGTTAGCAGCAAGAGTATATCGTATCCATCAAATGTCCTGTAAGCATGATATTTTCAAGCTAACAATCTGAAAAATTAAATCGATCCAACAATTTATTAGTACTGTGATGTTTATCGAATATGAAAAATTAAAATGTTCTTTGGAAGAATTTTTAAATATTCATTTTAATGCAAAGGAATGGAGTAAAAGATAGGAATGACTAAATCTATTACATGAAAAATTTGCTGACCACTGGTCAGAATGCTCTTTGGAAGAATTTTTTAAATATTCATTTTAATGCAAAGAAATAGAGTAAAGGGTATGAATGACTAAATCTATTACATGAAAAATTTGCTGACCACTGGTCAGAATGCAACAATCAATGATCATTTTTTTATTTCTCTTCTTAGATTTAATGTTACAATTAATAAATTTTTAAAATTTTTCAACTATCAATACTTATAAGATTGATATGTTTCATTTTTTTTTTTTGTGTGTCTCATCTGATTATTATTGGAAGAATTGAAAAAATTTATAAAATAAATTTTGAAATTAAAAAATTTATAATTTATAAAAAATTTATAATTTGAAGCAATTAAAATATTTTGTATTATAAAAGCTTTAGCCATAATAATTGTCTTATTTAGAATATTTTATCGATAAATGATTGATTTATTATACAAAATAAAATAAAATAAATATTTACAATGCTTTAAATGTTTTTTAATTCTCAGAATATTTGTTGTAAAAAATATTCGATCAGATAATTAAAACTATTTTGTAATCTTTAATATATTAATGAGTATCTAATCTAATAGCCACACTTATATTCAATGCCTAACATATCGTACACTTCATTATATCAATTTACATACAAAAACTTTTTTTGCCTGAAAATTAATGTATTAGGTTTTATAAAACCACCACCATCACATAAATGGTTTCCATTGCATATCCAGGATTTCAACTTTATCAGGCATCTCATATGTTTCCCTTAATTAAACTTTATCCGGTATTCTGCAAATTTCTTTTAATTAATCTTCACCTGGCGTTCTATAACTTTTCCTTAATTAATCTTCATTGGATGTTCTATAAGTTTTCCTTAATTAAGCTTCATTTGAATGTTCCACAAATTTCTCTTAATTAAGCCTCATTAGGTATTCTATAAGTTTCTCTTAATTAACCTTCATTAGCTATTCTACAAATCACTCAATCTTAAGCTTAATTCAACTACAACATATTAAACTTTTTCTTTTTTAATCCAACAAAAAAAAAAAACCCCAATCCTGATTGTATTCGCTATATTCGCTAATACTCGAAGGATAAGAAATCTATCATTACCTTTATTAAACAACCTTTGACCTCATTGTTAAGTAACATAAAGAAATTTCATTGTCAATCACATTTAATATAAAAATGAAAATTTTTTATAACATATATTATTGAAAATTTATTGAATCAAATAGATTATTATATAAAATTGATTGTTAACACTTTTATTTTACTAATAATAAAAATTTGTATAAAATGGAAAGTTTTACTTTTACTTTTATCATTTTTTGAATATTAAATGCCTATGGATTGAGCGTTTTTAATAATAATGAAAAGCCTTGAAATAATCTTTTCAATTTTAGAAAAAAATCTTTTATATTTTATTAATAAAAATAAAATTTAAAGAAATTAAAAGTAACAAAATTTCATGTTTAGATGTGTTTATAATTGATCATTGTATTATATATGGCATATAATTTCGTATCATTTTGATACGAAATTCTTTTTATCAATTTTTTCGATCAATGATTATTGTGGAAAAGAAAAAAAAGAAGCAAAAATTTGTTAGCAAATCAAATATCGTCGTGATAACATCGCATCTGTTTGATGCAAATTGGATCTATTTGACGTGACCGGATCTTTTTGACGCAAACTGTTGGATATAGACTGGCTGCTTGACGTAAACATTGGCTGCTTGACGTAGACTGTTGTAGACTGATTGCTTGACGTAGACTCGTTGCTTGACGTAGACTGTTGTAGACTGATTGCTTGACATAGATTGTTGTAGACTGGTTGCTTGACGTAAACTGTTTGACGTGACCGGATCTTTTTGACGTAAATTGTTGGATATAGGCTGGCTGCTTGACGTAGACTATTGAACGTAGACCTGGATCTGTTTGACGTTACTTAATGATATGATTATTTCATTGGCATGATATAATATCCATGATTCAACTAGCTATCTATCTATCTACTTAAATGTAACATACTCTAAAACAGAAAGTATTTTGAATAATTCAAATCCTAAAATATCACAGCATCGATATGTAACTTTAAATGATTGAAAATCAAAATTATTAAACAAATACTCATTAAAGTAATGCTAATTACTCCTAAAACCAATCCATATCGATCAATTGGTTCTTCCCACTTTCTTATGATCAATCATGAATTAGCATACATCTCTTGCAATAAACACTGATAAAAAACAAAATAAAAATGAAATATGATTCATTGACAATTTCCGGATATTTGTTATCGGTTATATTTGAAGTGCTCTTTTCGGTATTCTAATTTATTTAAGTTTTATTGTAAGGTTTAATGATTTTATTACCAAATTACCATTGCATCAGATCTAAAGGATGATTTTTCTCTTTTTTTTAAATTTATTAATTTGCTGAAATTTAATTTGTAATGGCATTACTGTAAAATGATTTTTTAATCTATCTATTACTAAAAAAAATTCAACTAAATTACTCCTTTTAGATATAAGTTTAATTAGAGAGATGAAATCATTTAATGATTTCATTAATATCCAAAGATTAAATGATCAAATGACTTCACAAAGATTATCATATCAGAAGGAAAAACTTATGAGCAGTGATTTATTACGGATAATTAATCAAAATTCAATGTTACGCGCTTCTCTTATATTGCTTACTATTGTGATGACTTTTTTTACTGTTATAAAAATTGGTAAATTACTTTATCAAATACGATATTGTCATCATCAGGAGGAAGAGGTGACAATAATTTTTTGACACTTCTCTTTATCAATTCAAGATATTATGTCATTTAATGCATTTTTTGCATTGTTAAGTAATATTCAATAATTTAATGTATTACTTCTTTGGAAGCAATAACTTCATCAATGATCAAATCTTCATTTTCTAATTTATATGACTTAATGGCTAATCAATCTTAATTATGCTAATTTACAGTTTGATCATTTAGATGAAATTTTGAAATGGATTTTTGATTCATTCATTTATGCAATCTGTTCATCCGTTTCGTACGGATGATGCGCTTTTAGGAATCAGGTATGAGGAAAATTATTACAGGTAAACGAATCTGATAGTGAAATTCCTGAAGTACTGATTAAAAGTCATTCAGCAGATTATCCCTCTTTTGTTGATAAAAAAGGGATTAAAAAGAAGGATGGATCAACTCGAACTTCTCGTACATGGTATACTGTCACTTTTTCAAAACATATTCAATTGAGATTGATTAAATTTGATAATCATCAGATCATCGGGATATCTCGTGATTGAATCGTTATCCATCTGTTGTGAATTGTTCGATTCCGTGATGGGTGATTAGATTACTTATGACAAATTCTTTGATATTCAGGAAAGTGAAATCAAACTCAAACTCAAATTCATTACCCAAACATAATACAATGAATAAATGGGATTTAAAGCAAGTTAAGTGCAATAAGGTAACCTTAATCTATCTCTTGTTATTTTCCACTAATAAATAGTTATTTGTGAGATGAACTTACAACATAGAAGTTGATATGAAAACAAGTGGCGGAAATATATGAAATTTCTACTTCAGATACATCCAATATCAGAATCATGTTCGAAATCATCAGTGAAAAGCATCGGAATGAATGATTCAAGTTAATCTGAATTTTATCATCTTATCTGATATCTGATCATATTAAATATGCATTTCAATAAATATTCAATTGAAATGAAAGCTTAAATCCATTCGCTTTATTAGAGGAAGTTAATTTGCTTCTACTATTTATTTTATGTGCTTCAAAAGTGTATGCCTGAATTTACTCTACTAATATCATTTGTTAAACTTATAAATTAAATTTTGCAGGTACCAACAAATCAGCAACCTAATCCGGAAGGCACAGGACTTGAACTGAAATGCTTCATCCGGATTGCAATGATGACAAATAAAACATATACAATACAGTCATTCTTTATTCGTAGTAGTGTTCATTAATTTATTGTTACTTCAGGAACAATGTCTAATTAAACAATACATTATTCCTTCCTTTATCAAAATAATGCACACTAAAAATACAATATTTATAACGATTACGTGAAACAAAATTGATCATGTAGGTAGATATGAAACTATAGCTCTCTTTGTAAATTGAAAAGTAAGTCAAGAAGTAAATGACAAATGTAAGTTATATTGAAAAGTAAGTCAAGAAGTAAATGACAAATGTAAGTTATATTGAAAAGTAAGTCAAGAAGTAAATGACAAATGTAAGTTATATTGAAAAGTAAGCCATTATGAACCCACACAAAGGTTGATAATCATCAGCTCACTTTTGTTTATTAATCTGTAAAGAATAGGTTAGATATTTGTTACTTATAAATTCGTTAATTTTTATTGTTATAATTAAAATAATGCTATAATT